GGACACCCTGTATATTTCTAATTCATTGAAAAGAATTTAAATTACCTTTTCAAAAATATAGCATACTTGATATTTTGCTCGATTCCTCTTCGAGATGTATAGTTTTTAAAAATTCGGCTGTAATGCAAAAAATTCTAGCTGTGAGCAGCAATTAAAACGAAAATAAAATTTGCAATGAGACATGCAGAAATTTTATAACCATTGAAACTATATTTAACAACATCAAAACCCATTTATACTGTACCTAATAACAATAAAAAAATTAATAGCAAACCAAAACATGACATTTTGCTACAGGTGTCCGTCATGTGGACCGTCTTCTGTTTTGGACAGACGGGACCGTTTTTGAACATTTCTCGCGGAATTCATTAACTCAGTAGGGGTTAAAGATACCCTCGCATAACCACTAAGTACTTCTAATTCTTGTCTAGATTATACGGTCAATTTAAAAATAAGAACCTTAATTCTTCCGCAAAGATAAAAATTCATAGGCGTTAAGTCTGGCGGCCTCGACGTCCATCGGCTGGGATCTTGGTTAGTTATTCAGTTATTGTCGAAATTGCCTCAAAAATTTGCTGATAACTTCAGGTTTCTGAGGCGGTACCTCGTCTTGCTGAAAAAATATGTTTTCGAGTTCCATTAGGGGCAGATCATCAATAAGGGATCCAAAGCCTATACTAGATAAAGTGGCGAACTTTTAAAAATTTAGTAGTATTTCGAAGGGGACTATAACAAAATATCAAGTTTGCTATATTTTTCGAAAGGTAATTTTAAGATCTTTTTACTTAATTAAAAATATACAGAGTGTTCCAAATCAAAAATCAATTTTTCTGTTGATAACTCTTAAATTACTAATTTTAAAAAATTATACTATTAAATTTTACGTAAAAAGGCGCTTTGGATATGTTTTCACAAAAATACAATATTTTCCATAGAAAAAGTTACAGTGATTTGTTAAAAATGCACATTTTTGAAAAACACCTCGTAACTCCGAAACGGCAACAGATATCGATGTGCGGTTTTCACCATCATGTTTTTGATAAAAATTGAGCTCCAGACACCGATATTAGTTTTTGTCTATCTCCTATAGAAAAAAGTGTTTCTCTTTAAAAGCTTCGATTTGATCCACCCTGTACAGCTTCACTAACTATCGCCATTGTACATCAACTAGCAGAATCTATTTGATATCAAATGTGTAAACACAGAATATTCTTTCAAATCAATGAAGACACGCCTTAAAGAAATAAAGTTACAAAATTAAATATTGTGATTTTTTTTTCATTTTGTAGATCAAAAATGTGACACACAGAATCAAAAATATATTTTTATGATTTCTGACACTATTTTTTTGTCTAGCATAGAAAAACGTTACTCTATGTTATTATTAATCGAATTAAAAAAAATGTGAAACGCCACTGGTTGGGAAGCTTTTAAAATCTGAACAAGTTTAGGCGAACTTCACCATTCAGTAGTTTAATGAACGCGTTATAATTAGTTTAAAATATAGTGAATCTGGTCCAAGGCAAAATAAAAAACTTTTAAAAGACTAAACCTACAAAAAAATATTAATATAAGGTGTAAAAATATGGAGCTACATCGGTATGATAGATACAGAAATCTATCAGAAAGAAACTTAACCGAAGAGGAACAAGAGTTCCAGAAGGAACAAAGATACAGTGTCGTGTCACAGGGAAAATTCAAAATAAGTTGTACCCAGTGTGGTACTGTTCATAGGGGGGAGTGTGAAATAAAAAACGTAAGAAAAGTAGAGAAATAAATATACCTAGAAAAATAATTAATATTCTTTATTAATTTTTCGTCACTTTTTATAATTTTTTAAGTCAGTTGGTTATAGTATTTTATATTGTTAAGGTGTCTCTATATTTACTTATTTTTCTGAGCCAAAGAAAGGTTAAAAATTGCCAACAACCACAAGCTATCGCGTGCTACAAGCTTATAGCAAGTTCTTATCAAAGCAGATACACATAAATTTTAATTAATTATTTTTAACTCGAGTTTGTAACCTAGTGAGCATAATAAAGCGTTTTTTTAGGAACTTAGAAAGGTTACATTGGTTTTTACTATGTTGCAATTTTTTCTGGGTTATTATTAGCAAAATATATTACCTGTGTAAAGAAAAATCACTGATTATCATTATTAAATTATTTAGAATCTAATATAACAGGGAAACTTTGGTAACATATTCTGTAGAAGAAGTTCGTATAAAACATGTCCGAAAAGGTTTCTTTTCGGAGCAGAAGTTCCATTTTAATTTTTTTCTAAATAATTTCTGAGTTTGAATATTTATCAGTTCAGTCTGCTAAGTATATAATCAACATTTTTAATTTATACGAATGATCTCTCAAGCTTATATTGATTATTTCGATTCCAAATACACACACCGGAAAAATATAGGGATATCATTTTATTAAAGTTAAAAATAAATGTTTTGAATAAACAACCACATATTTGTAGGCCGATTCTTCCTACTTCGATTGAAACGAAGTAGTCACACTAGTTATTTCTAAATTTGGGATATTTGCAGAAGTGTTTGTGCATTTTTTGTCAAATGTATAAAAGCACCTAGCATCAATTGTTCAAATTTAACCTGTACTGGCTATGTTTTTATGATAACTGGCCAGAATTCATTCAAATAACTCTGTTTAGTATTAAACGACATTATGGAGCGACACATCTTAACAGAGACGAAATGCTAAGGGCCATGGGTATGCTCGAAGCTGGAATGCGCCAAATCGACGTAGCTAGAGCATTAAATACAACGCAAAGTGTAATATCGCGATTAAGTGCACGGTACCGTGAAAGTGGTGATGTTGCTGAAAGGCACACAGGGCGACATCGCATTACTACCCCTCAGCAAGATCGTTTTTACAATTAAATGCTCGACGCCGACCGACTCTTACAGCACCAAAGCTTAGTTTGGTCCTGACACTGTTCGCAATAGATTAAAGGAGGCCAACTTAAGAAGCAGACGCCCCTGGAGAGCTCAACCCTTAACGAGAGAAAATCGAGAGGTACGATATTTGTGGGCTCAAGATCATGTTCAGTGGTCGAATGAACAATGGGCCAATGTTCTCTTCACAGATGAGTCACGCTTTGGAATTCATCCGGATTCGAGAAGGCTTAGGGTATGGAGAGAACCGGGAAATCTTATTCAGTTGAATCATGTTCAGGAAGTGCACCCTTATCAAGGTGGAACAGTTATGGTCTGAGGACGAGTCCAGTTAGGCCGAAAAACCGATCTCGTTTTTCTTGAAAGGTTTCTAACAGGAATCACATATCGTGATTTAATTCTTGAGCCTGTCGTGTTACAATATGCCAATGATTTTGGGAGAAACTTCATTCTCATGCATGACAATGCACGGTCTCATACAGCCAGAGTGGTAAGTGAGTTTATCAATGCTCATCAATTAAACATCTTACCCTGGCCGGCACAATCTCCTGACCTCAACCCCATCGAGCACGCATGGAATGCGGTCCAAAGAAGAATTTTGAGAATGGGTATGCCTCGTGAAACTCGTAGGGATCTGGTTCGGGCCGTAAATGCAGCGTGGCAGGCTGTACTTCAAGAAGGGATCGACAACCTGATCAGGAGCATGGAGAGACGATGTAGGGCTGTAACAGTAGTAAGTAGTAGTAACAGTAGAGGAGGCCATACCCTTTATTAAGTAAAAATGGTTTTATCTTTTTTTTTTAATTTGCAGTTTAGAATAAAAAAAAATGTGTGTATTTTTTTGAGTTCAATAAAAATCAAGGTAAATTTGAAAAATTCGGTAAATTTCGCATTTTTATTTCCAATACGTGCTGTAAACTATTTGTTTATTTTAATTTTATTATATCAGAGATGCAAATAATAAAATTACTGACGATGGCTGGATAAAATTGTAATATCCCTAGACTTTTCCGGTGTGTGTATTTACCTAGGTTTTTGAAAAAAACCTGGTTACATGGCTGTAAAAAATAACACAGAATTGTTATTTCTACGCCTACTCTCGTATAAAACTTTTTGATCACAGAAAATGTGGTGTTCAAGAGTTTAGATATTCCTATTATGTAACACCTGTACTTTGAATGATTGTAAACAACAATATATGTGTTTACGTAATGCGGAAACACGAGTTCAGTTAACATACGATAGCCGGCAAGTAAGCAGTGTTTTATTTAAACAGCACTGTTTTCGAGCATTCTACAGAAAACATTAGAAAACACAACAGTTTAAAAAATTTCAGGAAAATACAAATGCTTTCATAATAATTAGATACCTCATAGCTGCATGGTAAAGTATATTTTCATCAGTTACAAATATAGTTTTCTTCTTAACATAATTATGAAATTTTTACCTTGTTGATATTTTGTATTTTTATAAAAAAGTAGATAAACGAAAAAAGGTATTAATACAAATGCTGGATTGAGAAAATAATGTATGATCGAAAAAAACGGCGTCAAAAAAAGCTGGTGAATACCTAACAATCGGTGCTTTTTTATTATAAATAAAGATAACACTACTTACAGAAAGATTAAAAAAGGATAGAATGCCTCCAGACACACAAATCTGTTTCCAAAAAATTATTTTTCTCAAATTTTCAACTACACCATTTAGAAATAATTTGTTCAATATAAAAATAAATTAGGTACATCCTTCTTAAAGCCAGCTGGCAGTAAGCGCCATTAAGAAATAAAGAAGGGTACGGGTCAAGTAATAACCTCTAGGGCTTGACCTCGCCAAAATTATCATCGATTGTTATTCCGCAGCCGTCTTTGACGCCGTTTTTTTTTCGATCAGTTCACACCATACGAACTAATTTTTGAAAAACTATTTGTATTGTTTATTTTCAATATTTTTTTTACTATAAACAAAAAAATTCTAATATTACAAGTTCTGTATAGAAAAAAAAATACTGTTACTTTGATATGCCTAGAATAAGATTTTTTATATAAATAGAGTGAACCTATTTTTTGACTTGATTATGTTTTCTCTGTAGGAGCTAGCGTTGCAAGAAGATGAGGGCCATAACTGGTGGTCCATAATCTTCTCGCTCTTAGTGATAGGATTAGTGATATCTGGCATAGTAGCCGCCATTTTCCTAGTTGGTTACGTCGACGAGCTTCTTTATTGGCACGGGGAAAGGATGAAATTAGAGCAATTTTTACAGGTAACTTACAAAAGAAACTATTACTAATATTAGTTAATTTGTTGACTATTTTGTAAATTAGTGTAAAGTTAAAAAAATAGTTATTTAGTGCTCATAAATAAAATTTAAATATTTGTATGTATACGGGATGAGTCTTAAATAAGTGCAAATATTTTTAGGGGTGGGATATTTTGACCCCAGAAACACATCTATAAGTTTATTTCGCAAAAAAACAATTGAAATTTTTTTGAAAAACTTTTTGGATTTTTTTTAATTCTTAGTTAAAAAACATAAGATCTTGATATTATAACGACATAAGTAGTAGATTAAATTTTAGAAAAAAAGAAAACCCACGAACAAATCAATGGTTCTCAAAATATGAGCAAAAAATATATTTCTTAAATTTTCAAGTAAAATTACTGGGTTATTTTGGGCTATTTTGAAAAACGGTCAAGAGAAAATATGTTTCTTTTATCGAGATCTGTCAGCCCTGAAAATATTTGCATTTATGTAAGACTCACCCTGTATATGTAACCTCTTAATTACAAGAAATCGTGTGTAATATACGACAAAATGAAAGAAATTTAAAATTTAGTAAATCATAGATTTTATTTCACATCATTTTAATATTTTAATACTGTATATGTATGATTTAAGCTCTGTATTTTTGTTTACAGGGTGAACTAAATCCAAAACGACTTCCTTCTTCCTGGATTTCCTCCAATCATTTCGTCTTTCAAGCTGATGACGGTAGCTTGGCTATTTTGGACACCAGCAATAACTTTGCCGTCTCAGTTTTAGTCACAAATCACACCTTGGTGAGTGATATTTTAGTGATTCAATTTATAATATAGACACAAATGTGTCAATATATTTTTTATAGAACACAACTATTACTCTATATTAAAAATATTTTTTTTTATTTCAGAGACAACTAAACGTGAGAGGATACCAGTGTTCAAAAAACTTAAAATATGTTCTTTTTCAACACAATGTTAAATCGGTAAGTATACCTAATTAATTTCTTAATTAATTGTTTTGCTAGTATTTTCTGCTTTAAACCTTTTTTTGTGCAGGATAAAAATAAAAAAAATATATTACGTGAAGTTAAGACCGTAAATATAGCCACCCAACTAGAAAGTTCTCATAATTAATAGCTTTGTTTTGAGGAACTGTTTATAAACATGCCAGTGGAATTAGGTTTTCATTAAATCGGTTTGTTTTCGAAATATATATCGTAAAAGGTTGGTATTAAATAATCACTAAAATTATTACATAATTCCAGCGATTATTTAATTATGTCAATATTTTTTATGTTTCCTTTTTTAAATAATTCTTATAGTGTGTTTCTAGGGCTTTTGAAAATGGGTAAAAAAAATACATAAATAGTTGTGATTACTACTTTTCTAAGGCCTTTGAAAATGTGCAAAAAATTAGCCAAAAATTGTCATTTTCCTGAAATTTTTCCATCATGAAAATTGATGATATTCTTCATGTCACCGAATTTATTAAAACTGTTGTTATTTACTTATTAAAAGTCTTAAAATAAAAAAAAAATAGGCCATTGTAGTCTTACGAGAACAGTAATGGATCTAGAAGAAATTTTAACCATGATTAAAAATAGCTCAAAACAAGCATCTAAAAAATTAATTTTTGCACAAAACCAAGATATCCTAGCCTAGCCTTTAAAGGTAAGAATGAATCTACATAAAATTTCCTACAAATTTTGAAATTTTACTAATTTTATGGCTATGATTACTGTCTTTAAGGCCTTTGAAAATGTGTAAAAAAATAGCCAAAAATTGCCATTTTCCCATCGTGAAAATTGGTGATATTTTTCATGTCACCGATTTTGTTAAAACTGCTATTATTTATTAATTAAAAAGCGTAGAATAAGAAAATATAAATGTAAAACCTCTGACGAGGGGTAGGGGACTCAAAAAAACTCACAATCTTTTAGGATGTTTATTTCAAAATCAAAAAAATTAACAATCCCCTACCCTTCGTCAGATTTTTTTTACATTGATATGTATTTATACTGGGTTGGAGAACGTTTAGTTTAAGAAAATATAGATTATTGTTGTCCTACGAGAGCAGAAATGGATGTAGGAGACATTTTAACCTTCATCAAAAATAGCTCAAAACAAAGGTCCAAAAAATTAATTTTCTTTCAAATTTCCTACAATAATTTAGCTATAAATTGTTTCTTGTTGCTAGATCAAAATATATTGCAGTGTGAAGTAAATAAAAGGTTATTGTGTAGTTTCCGACAAATTTCGGACAGTATCTGTGTAGAAAGTATATTTTTAAAAACATAAATCGTTTAAATGACTCACAAGTTTTGCGTTAGACTTCCTCAAAACAAACGTTTGCACGAGATGGGCTAAGAGGGTGTCTGTGGGGACCTTAGGGACCGCGTAAAGGTTACACGGCACTGAATTAAACACAAGAACTATGGATTTTCGCGCTAGGGCACACGAACAAACTGGCCTTTGTCACGCTCCAGAATATCTGGCATTGTTGCATAGCGCCGCTAGCTAGTCCAATCTCTCCTCAAGGAATTCGGGGATTTAATAATTGGATGGGGACCCCGGGGAGAATGCTAATGGGTCAATTTAGTTTGACGAGATTGAAAAAAGTGATAGAGAAGAGTTTATGATAGTTCTGCATGCTATTTCTCTTAAGAGACTAACATTTAGGGTGTACTCCGTTGCTTACCTTGGTTATGGGTTTATGTACCGTTTCTATCGGTTTCCTGAAAGTGTTTTTATTACGGAACACGGTTCCTGTGAAAAATTCGGTTATAACTGTCACCAAACTAACCAGCGCGAGAAGGCTGGTTTTCTGGTTTTGTTTGTCAATCAATGTCATTCATGTGACACAAATCAAGCAAATATTGGAAGTTCGAGTGAAATTCTCATTTAATTTCTAAAATTTGTAATAATATTTTGTATTTACATCCAAAAGCAATGGAGGTAGGCAGTAAAGGTAAATAAATTTCATTAACTTAATAGAATGACTTTTTAGGACCATTTAAACTTATAATATCATGCAGCCATTGTTTCTTAAAGTCAGGAACATTTAAAAAAAAACATGAAAAACAAGACAAGTAATGGTGAATGTTTTGTAAGCTAAAAAAAATATAAATATTGATTAGATTTGTTTATTTATTATTGATATGTTTTAATATTGGACCTGCAAATCTTCACTTGAGCTGTCTAACGAGTTTAACAGTTTATTAATAAAGTACTTTTCAATATTAAACTCCATTGAAAAAAGAAGCAAACGTAAAAATAGAGAATAGGTATATTAAAAATGCATAAAAGATAAATTTTAAGAGGTATTGAAATTTAGAAAACGTCAAAAATTTGACGTTTCCAATATTTTACCACACCGTTCCGTATCCAAACCGATGTTTTTCAGAAACCGCTCGTTACCGTAGTTTTCCGATCTGGTTCGCCTGGTTTTGCAACGGAATACAGCCTTAAACAAATAACGGATGACCAAGCGTTTCGAAAAAGCTCTACAGGATGTTTCAAAAAATATGTGCCATCTTTCGTGGAGAGATTCCTCCTGTAAAGATAAGATTTATTTTTCATATCAACATAGGTCTGATTCTGCTTTGTTTCGTAGCTAAAGGGAGTTAAAGTCATTTTTTTTTCGATTTATTATATTTTCTTCCAAGTGCTTTTAGTAATTTAAAAGAAATTTTGAGGGTAAAAGTTACTATAAGTGCCACATTTTTTAATGCTAAAAAAGTGTCGATAAATTCATCACGGAGGTGCATCTGGGTTATCACTGGAATATTTTTCAAAAAAAAAACATGTGCGCCATTGACTTTTTTTTATATCAAAATTGTGTATGCCATTTAATGGCAATTAAAAGTTATCTCTTGATATTTGGTCGAATTTGGCCTCCTTGATGAGATAATCGCAATTTTATTAATCACAATTAATAAAATTACAATAAAATTAATAAATTATATATTTTACCTAATTTATTATTAAATACTACTACTATTAGTTATTATTACTATTAGTCCAACCTACAGCAATTTTAAATAAAAAAATAATGGTATATTTAAGAAAAATACAGAAAAACTAATTTTAAAAAGTTGTAGCATCCTGTAACTCTAAAACTATGCATTTCCATACGTTTATAGGAACTTTTTTTCATATTTTTTGATAAGGAATCAGTGAGTACTTATTTAAAACTTTTGCAAGTTAATGATATTAAAATTTTTTAAAGCTTGCTGTTAGGATCAACGCAAATTTATAAAAATGCGTTTATCTCATCAAGGAGGCCGAAATCGACAAAATATCAAGACACAACTTTTAATCGGCATTAAACTACGTACACTATTTCGCGAACAAGAGAAAAAAAGTCTGTCGTACATGCTTTTTTTAGAAAAATATTTTAGTGATAACCCAAATGCACATCCCTGGTGAAGATGTCGACACTTTATTAGCTTTAAAATATGTAGCATTTATAGTAACCTTTACCCTCAAAATTTCATTCGAAACGCTAAAAGTACTTAGAAGAAAATTATAATAAATCTAAATAGTATTAAGATTTTAACACCCTGTAGCTACGAAAATAAGCAGAATCGAATCTATGTTGATATGATAAATAAATCTTCACGAGAGATGGCACATGTTTTTTGGAACACCCTGTATAGTAGCTAGATATTCTGTGCTATCATGGCAATTAATCACCCGATATACAGGGTGGGCTTTAAATGAGTGCAAATATTTTTAGGGGTGGTATATTTTGACCCCAGAAACATGATAATAAGGTTTTTTTCGCGAAAAAAAAATCAATATTTAGAATTTTTTGAAAAAAATTTTGGAATTATTTTTAGTTTTTTTTGCAAATTTTCAAAGTAAAATAACTGCGTTATTTTGGACTTGTTTGAAAAACGGTAAAGAAAAAATATGTGTCTATTATCGATATTTCCCAGCCCTGAAAATATTATTTGTACTTATTCAAGACTCACCTTGTATTGCTTACAGAAATTATTGTCTATATTGAAATACTGAAACATAATTAAAAATATCTTCTTTTCCAGGTTTTTAGACAATCCTTCACTTCCCACTACACAATCTACGACGTCAATAAAGAGTGAGTACATTTATTTAATTCGCCCCTTTTTTCAATTTATGGCTCGCTACTTGCGCCGCCATTTTAAATAACGATAATAGCCGGATTAAACCGGTAAAACATGCGAGTTAGAACGGGCGCGAACAAATCCCGAATTTATGGCCTCGACATTCTCGGGAAAGGCCGCCGCCATTTTTCACTGGCAATTTCATATCCGGGAGGTATCCATAAATTCGGCAGATTAAAATTCTATATTTTTTCCTGGATTTATATTTTATAGTCGGATGTAAATACTGAACGATATCAATATTAACAAAACGAGTAATGGCACAAAACAACTGCTAAATTTTTATAGGCTCAACTTTCGTTTAGCTGAAATCTGTTATACAGGGTGTTTCAAAACAAATGCGAAAAACTTCAGGGGGTGATTCCTTGTTCAAAATAAAGGGTAGTTTGCTTCATAAACGTTGGGTCAAAAGTCAACCATTAGGGAGATATTGCAGTACAAAGATGGCGGAAAAATAATGTTCTTATTTTTTATCTTGAAAACGAAAAGAGATAGACAATGAAATTTTATGGAAGCATTACTGTTATGAAAACACACTTTCTGGTAATTTTTTCACTTTTTTAAAATGAGTGGAAGGGGTTGAAATAAACTACCCCTATCATTCTTGTTAACGAAATTTAAAGAAAAATCTTATCAAACACATGCAAAAAAATTAATTTCGATAGTTTAGTTTGTTTAGAAACTTTTTTATCTCTTGTGTTTTTTTTGCAAAAATTGGCAAATTCCCATGTAATTTAAATGGTAAACCGATCGTCTTTGGGGCAAGGTTTATTGTGAATATTAAGGGTTTACAATGGTCTGTTATTTTTTTTAGACAGTAAACTAAAAATTTAGAGGGCGTCGTGGGAGAAACGATCAACATAATAGACATTCTTTAGGAAAGGCTTATTGTTGGCAAAAATATATTTAACAATTACGATTGTAATAATTCCAACCCTGCATTTTCTGTGTAACTTTTCGTTTTCCGAAAGTCCCGTTATCTGAATTCGGACCGCCACAGTATCCACAGATAAAATATGGCTTTAATATTATACTCACACATACACACGAGCGGGGCGTTTGAAAGTCCAGACATAGGTAGTTACACAAAGGGTGGTTTTCGGGGTGTTCTGTACTTGTTCGCAGGATACGAATGTGGCAAAAGTTTTATCTTTTAGATAGCGGCCAACGGAAACGGACTTTTGTATGAGTTTTAGAGGCTATTTCAATGGGTAACAAAATGACCTGGTTGTATTGTAGAGAATTTTTGATTAATAAAGTTTAAACGTTTAAAAAAAACGGAATAATCTAAAAGTCGTCTAATCTAAAAGTACCCTGTATATTGTCAATTAAATACAAAAAATATTTTGTTTATATTTTTTTTATTATACAGGGTTGTTCACCACATACGACACGGAGTATTGTAGCTAAACGATTAGATTTTTACAAATTGTAAGTTTTGGGTTCGTTGAAGGACTATTAGAGCTACAATTTAAAAAATATTTTTGTTAAAGATACAGAGTGTTCCAAATAAATAAAAATATCAAAGTTGTATTTTTTAATGGAACACCCTGTAGTATTATTGCATTTTTAGTTTCTACGATTAAAATAAAGGTAATTTGATTAAGGTTTATTACACTTAAACCTTACCGTTTCTGAAATATTTTCAATTTTACGAAATTGCAGTATAAATTTTAAGGCTTCATTTCTCCGAGGATATCAAAGTTTTTAATACTAAATATTTACTGAAGTTTATTTATTGATCAGTTATTGTGTTGCAATAATAAAAATTATACTACCTTATAGAGAGTGTCTAAAAATTTATTTTAAATAATTACTAGCTTTAAACGACAATAACTTATTTACTTTAAATAGAACACCCTGTATATTTTATGAGAATCAAATGCACAATTTAATTGTCTATCAAATTCTATTACACCATTTCTTACCTATACCTTCAAGTTTTCGTAGAAAATGCATTTTCTTATAATTTAGACCTCATTTATCAATATACCCATGGAATATTGATGGCGCAGATTGTTCAATGTCTCACAATAAGATGCTGCCTTGACTGTCTCATTACGAGGCAGAAACTCCACTAGCAATACTCCTTTTCTGTCCCAAAAAACTGCACATGATTCTCCGGGCAGAAATTGTTTGCTTAAACTTCACTGTTTTGGGTGATGATGAATGTCGCCATTCCATGGACTGTTGTTTCGATTCTGGTGTTTCGTAGGCCACCCATGTTTCGTCACCAGTAACAATTTTGTCTAAAAAATCTTCACCTTCATTGTGGTACTGCTCAAGGAAAGTCAATGCACTGCCTAAACGTTGGGTTTTGTGCAAATCCATCAACATTTTCGGAACCCAACGTGAACACAATTTCCGGTAATTCAAGTTCTCGGTCACAATGCGATACAAAACACTACGAGAACATTGAGGAAAGTAGTCGCACAATGATGAAATTGTAAAGCGTCTGTTTTCTTTCACCTCTTTGTCCACTTTCTGCACCGAATCTTCATTAACGACCGAAGGACGCCCACTCCGTTCTTCATCATGCACATTTGTGCGGCCATCTTTAAATGCTCTCACCCTTTTCCTTACCATTCCATCACTCATAATGGTTTGTCCGTAAACTTCACAGATCTCACGATGAATATCGATCGGTTTTACGCCTTTAGCACTAAGAAATCGTATGACAGCCCGTACTTCACAATCGGCGGGGCTCACGATTGTCGGAGGCATCTTAAATACTCAATAAACAACGTATACAATGAAGAATCAGACTGTACTGGCGTCTGTGCATAGACAAGAGATGTAGGTAACCAGCGCGCATGCGCGGAACGCCGACCGTAGCGCTGCGGCGGCGGAATCGCAAAACGGTACTTACTTAAAAAACATGCCTCGTATTTAGTAGCTGCTCTTAAAATATTTCTTTACACCGACGCAAACCTCGGTAATCCATAATTTAAAAAGAAACGGGATTAGTAACCCTATAAGGGTTTAAAAATAACCTTGCTATACTGCCCCCGGATGAGTATCCTCTTTCAATATTCGATTCAACTACTTCCAGCGGAATAGGGCAGATTATTTCGAGTTTACGAGGGTGTTATCTCTTGTAACAGTTACGGAAGTGTTTGGTTAAAAATTTAAGTTGATCTGTGAGTTCATGCCTTTTAGAAATCTATCAAATGTATCTGTATCTGTTACAGTAAAAGTTGGAAATCAGTGATTGTCAACAATTACTAGTAAAAGCTCACCATTCACTCATTTGCTAAGACTACGCCAGTAAAAGTTCAACAGCTATTTTTGAATCCAATTTTTACTATAGTCTGTCCAACGAGAAGATCCTTGACAGTGAGAGATGTGTCTGTCATTTTAATTTCAAAGTAGTTTATTTTATTTTACAAAGAAATAAGTTGGTACAACTGGAACGCATTGCAGGAAATATTTAAAATTTGATTGACAAGATGACAAGTGATTACTTCAAAATATTGTGAAAAAAACTGTATAAAATTGAAAAAATGTAATCGAGTTATTTTATTTAATAAAAACGGTATGTGTTAATACAAAACAAACAAGAACAAGACACTACATACCAAAAAATATAAAAAAGAACTATTATTTACTTTCAAGCTTTATGAAACTACCCGCATTTATGATTATATTTATCAATATAACTTATGTACAAATACAAATTTGTAATATTCCACAGGAATAAATAAAACAACATAGGTAAATAAAACAAACTATTTTATTAATAATAACACCTACCAAATTTTATACCTTAAAGGTTGATTAATTAACTTTAATCTTAATTTTTTTAAACCAGTACCTTTTGACATAATTTTTCTGCAGTACTAAAATCCATTATTTACCTATCGTGTGATGTCGATATTTTACAGCTACTCCAGTTTTTAGTATGTGTTTAGTTTGATCCTTCTACCATATACGAGATGCACTTATCTACGACGAAATGGTATACAAACTTTATCTTTTTTCTGCCTAGGCAGCGAGTATTAACCATAAACTGTGCTCTGGGTCTACAGTTAATTTTCACTCGATTTTTCCTCCACTTGACTTCAAAAGACACAAAACACACGTAATAATACGAATCAAAATGCATCATCTTCCAAAACGCAGGGTATTTAACAAAAGTTGACACAAAATTATAACCTATAATTTGGCAAGACTTTGACAAGCGTCAAAAATGACAAAAATCTAAAGGCGAGTTCATACGCATCGGCGTCCGTTTGTCGTTCATCGTTCCGTCAAACCAATAAAATTGAAATACGATCTGTCATTTTTAAATAAACCAATAAAACTGGTTAAAAACAACAAGACACGACGCATGACGGATTTATATTTAAACCCATCCATAGATAACTTAAAAATTATTAGAAACTTTTTTTAGTAAAATAAATAGATTGGTATGGGACGTCATCTGCTTTTCTTGTGTCATCGTCTGTCGAAATCTTACCTGAAAAAAAAAACAGAGTATAGTGAATGCCAGCATTCCCTGAACGATAGCAGTTTGAAAGATTCAGTTAGCGCGGTTGCCATGTGTTGTAAAATATAAGGTTAAATAATGAATAATAGGCAATATAAGGATAATATTAAATTGGACTAAACGTTGGCAACTTTGACAGTCATCTGGCGTAAATTCGCTTTGTATTTTTGGTTATGTATAGTTGTTTTGTTATCGTTGAAAAAACTGCTGTACGGTATTTTCTGTGAAATTTTTTGTGAAAAATTAAGGTAAACTAAGCACTCGCAAGAATGTAATAGTGCTTGTTTTTCATTTTTGCACTATAATGAAGTCATAGCAAAAGTTAAACGTGCAAGAGAAAAATATATTAAAGAAGCTTTGAATTGTGAAAGTGACTATGAATTTATTAAACGTTTTAATATGCTTGAAGTAGCGGGTTTGAGAAAACGAATAACTTTCATTGAAGAAAATTCGGACATACTTTAT